TGATTTTTTAAGAAAAGTCGAGCTGTGTTATTTTGAAAATTGTTATTTTTCAGATTTATATTATCATTCATACTTTTCATTTTTATTAATTCTTTTTGTAATTCTTTGTTTTTATTTTTTTCTAAAATAATATGGTTTTGATAACTCTTGCATTGAAGTTCTAAATTTTTCATCAAATTCTAAAAAAAATTTTAATCAAGTTACATTATAATTTTATTAATCCAAAAAAAATTTGAAATACTTCAATTTTCTTTTCCTGATGTGAAATTGTATTTTGTGCGTCTTTCAATTGATCTTGTAGTTTTTCTCTTTCGTTTAGATTTTTATTTTTAGATAAATTTAACAAATGATTATGTTTTTTAGTCATCATAGAAAGCTCTGTACTCTGTGAACGGTACCTATTTTCTAATTCCTTATAAGTACTTTGCATTTGCTTTATTCTTCCTTTGTATACTTGTATGTCATCATTTAATGATTTCATAATTTGAGGTAATTTAGCTTCTGTACCCTCGTAAAATAATAAAGCATGTTCTTGACGTTTTTCCATAGTTTTTAATATTCGATTTTCAGTTAATAATTTCTAAAATTAAACAGATTATTTTTATTAAGTCATGATTTTTAAATTTTCTTACTTGATATTTGTTTTGTATTTCAACATTTTCATTTTCCAGTTGTTGTATTTTAATTATTAGATTATCACGCGTTACATTTTTTAAACGAGATACAGTGGTTTGATTGCCTGTATTTTTGCTTAATACTGTTTTACGAGATATGTTCGTGTTAGCTAATATAGTGTCATTATAAATTAGGCTTCATTAATATTTATATATTGTAAGATGTTTTTTAAAACATACGTTGTCGTTTGGTAACCGATAATTTATTATTAGTTAAAGGCTTTATTATTTTCTTTTTATTCTGTGGTTTAGGAGCACGAGTAAAGTTTTTACTGTTTTGACTAGGCAGCTCCACTGGATATTGACAAACTGTCTCACTTAACCATAAAACAAGTTAATATAATATTGTAAAAATTAAATATTATG